TCCAAATTCTCAAATCCCCAAATCCCTAAATCCCTAAATCCCCAAATTCCTAAATCCCCAAATCCCTTTTTACGTCAGTTGACGCATTACTCGCCAAGTTTACGCTATCAGATGCTTTAGACATATTTAAAAAAATACCTTTATCATTGCACAAATGTGCTGTACATCCGCTGTCCAAAATCCATTTTTGGTTATTTATTGTTGAATTATTATCAAGCTTCCCAGTAAAGGCATAATAAACATCTTCTTCATGCGTCGCTTTGTTTGCGCCTTGACCTTCGTTTTTTGTAAATGGATATTTGGTCCTGCACTTTGGTGCTGTATGTCCTCTTTTCTGACACCTGCAACACTTTATATTCCATTTATTATTAGTTCTTATATCATTATTTTTTGTTTTCCAATTTTCTGTTGTGGTTCTTGAATTTTCATTTTCCTTTCTTTCAAAATGTTTTTTATGCGTTGAAGCGACCATGGCATTGGAAGTTCGGACTTCAGTTTTTTGCAATCTAGCCTCGTGTTCTTCTAATATTTTTACTTTTAAAACTTCGGGCTCTGGCAACTCATCTCTAGATTCAATTGCGCATCTGAAATTCTCGAAAGAAGTCGGTAAACTATATAATAACATTATGGATAACAAATCCTCATTTATATCGACATTCATGTATTTTAATTTATCCACCGTATCGAAAAATTTATTTATATGGTTTCTTACGTTTTCTCCTTCGGGCAACCTTTGTAGCGTGAGTTGCTTAAGGAGTGTTGCCTTTCTTGCGGGACCTTTCGATGCGTAAACGTTTTCTAATTTTTGCCATACTGACCTTGATGTCTCGCAACCCTTTAATTGTGTTAACTCGCTCGGGCTAACGCACAGAATGATGTCCGCCTTGGCCTTTTTGTCGTTTCTTATCCATTCTTCAATTTTTGTCCGGTTTTGCTCCGTTTCTTCAGGCTTCTTTATATCACCGCTTACGTACTGCCACAGATCATTTTTTATCAGTATCGCTTCAATTTGCATCTTCCAGGTGTCATAATTGTCCTTGTTGAGCGGTTCAATTCTTGTCGTACTATTCATCGTTTCGTTCCTTTTATTTTATTTCAACTTTGGTTGAATTCCACGTATTTTTAATGCACTCAAAAGAATACAAAGAAATTTTTCTTTCTTGTTTAATTAATTAATTCAGCACAACTGGGCCCATAACCTGTTAATTTTTATTTGATTACAAAATTCTTACACGTTAACGTCCTTTACGGTATTTACAAAGCGACTAACTACGCACACGGTTCAGGACAGATATATACGCGTTTTCTCTCACACACTCATACAAACAGAAAAAGACGTATCGACAATGACTCATCCTTCTAACATGCGGGAATGCTATTAGCATGTATTGCTATATTTTAACACCAAATCCTCAAATCCTCAAATTCCCAATTTTCCTAAGTTCCAAATCCTCAAATCCCCAAATTCCCAACTTTCCTAAGTTCCAAATCCTCAAATCCTCAAATCCCCAAATCCCAAAATCCCTAAATCCCCAAATTCCTAAATCCCCAAATCCCCAAGTCCCTAAATCCCCAAATTCCTAAATCCGCAATTTCCCAAATCCCCAAATCCCCAAATTCCCAAATTCTCAATAAAGTGAGACATCTTTCTCCTCAAACAATAATTTTACATGGTATTAATTACAATTGCAACGATACGAAATAGAAAAAGCTTCAGTACTGCAAGTATTTCTTATGTTACGTTGTATACGTGTAATCATCCAAAAATTGTATGCTCATACGCAGTATACTTAAGAATGTAAATACAACGCACGCTTACCACTATTTTGTGATTAAAGTGTCATTTTCACGTATTTTGGCATAATTACAGCTCTCGCGCAAGGCATTGTAGCCGAAATACCGCTGAAAAAAGAAAGAACCAAGAGAAAGAAGTAAACCTTCACGCAACAATGTTCTTTGTGGAACGCCGCGAAATCGTGTGTGAAAATAATGACCGCGCTGTAATTGTTAAAAAAGAAACATCTTAAACGTTTCAAATAATAAGAAGGGAGATGAAAAAATGTTCCATCGAGCTGGAGATATAACATGAGATGACATGTTTTCGTCCTAAGAGCTAATTTTTTCTCGAGAAAGGTAAATCATTTATTTCCCTTTGTTGAGTCATGGAACGAAAATGATGCAGCGATATTATATTACGTTATGTTTAACCCTTCCTTATGACTTATACAAAAGTTTCGGCACGAAAAATAGATTAAAGGACTACGAGTAGAATTCTTTCTCAGAAAGATTAATTTTATTTCAATTCGAAACTTATACATATTTCAAACTTCAACATTTCTATAAATCATTTGGAAAATGTTGGTAAATACTTTCATTAATAATTTGAAATATTTATGATTCATTATTGTTTTGAGAAGTTTAAGATTTCATTAGAAACATGGTTATGTATTATATTATACATGTTGATATTATGTATTATGTACTTTATACATACATATATATACAATAAATTCGCATTTCTTACAAAATTAAATAAATGACTAAATAATACCATAGCAAATCTTAATTATAAATAACAAAAAATTGTATTGTTCGTTTGACAAATGCAGTGATTTATAAAAAGAAAGAAAATTTCATGAGTTTTTCGTTAAATTAAAAAACTTTAGAGTTTGTGTTTAAGATGCATGAACTTTAAGTTTATGAAACTTGATAAACGATTTTGCAAATAAGCTCAGTATAAAATATTTTATAGAATTGATTTAATAGCTGCAGTTTACCAAATTCTATTATTTAATAACAGAAAAGAAATTAAGTTTTCAAAATTATTATTATTGCGAGTAATAATGAAATTTTTCAAATACCGTGAGAAATCATAAAGGTCCATCTTCTTACCTTGACCGTTTCATGAGAACCGAAATGTTCATAATAAATACGGCTAGTAAACTTACAGGCTCGTTGTTAATTCGACGAATTAACGAGTACACTTATTGCCTGATGTAAAAGCAGCATAACGATATTACAACGGATTAAATAACCATAGATGGTCACGAAAACAGGGTTGACTGGAAAGGTAAGGATCTCTTCACATTAAAGAAATAAAAGTTTATGATTAACAAGATCTTAAGATATATTTATCTTTCGTATCAGTTCAATCAATCGATTATTTATTTATTGATATTAGCTAGGCACCTTTCATATTTAAATGTAAATACATTCATAATCAATGTAAATAGTATTTAACACCTTGGATGCTGGCTACCGTAGAGGCTTAATAAGATTACTATTCTTGACAAGTAATGATAGAGGAAATATGAATAAAATTAATTTTCGAGAAAAAGTTGTTTCATTAATAATTTGACAGATTAAATTATTTGATTATTCAAATTATTTGAAATATTACAAGATCATGTATTTGAATTATTTCAAATATTCAATAACCATATTATTTATATTATATTTATATTATCAAAAAATTAAATAACCCTGCATTTGAATTATTCAAGCAATTATATAATTACGTATTTAAATTATGTAGAAAATTAAATAACCATTGAACAATACAATTTTTCAGATATAGCAGTAAAAGAAACGTGGCGATAATCGCAAAGATTTATGTTGCATTTTACAATTTTATAATAGGTTTATACAATTTTCTTCATATTGCCATTATTATTAATTGATTATTTTAAACAGTAAGTTTCAATGAAAGAAATTCTATAGTTTCAAATAGGACGACCTCAACATCTATTATATTAGAAAATACATAGAAATATGTAGTTTTGAATTAAATAATTTAACAAACATAATGTAACAATTTTAACAATAATAATACTTCTTCAAATTATACAGATTTTACCTGAAACCCTTTCTTACACCACATAAAAGAATATGAAGCAATTTAAACTGAGCACATTATACAAAACACCCCTTGTATACCATTGTAGAGAGAAGGCCAATAGTAATCGTAAGTGCCTTTTAAAATGAATTCAAACATGTGCGAGTACATGTTCCCTATATAAAAATCACTGTTCATTTCACTAATTTTAATATTCACCCAACCATAGAACTTGAAGCGTCAATCCACTTGAAATTAATATTCTGACAAATAATGTCGGAAATGGAAAAAGGTGGAAGAAATGAAGAAAAGAACCAAGTGCGAAAGAAACGTAGTAAAGTGTCCCCAACGCTTGACCACGATCTCGTGGCGAAAATAATGAAAGGTGGCCGTATTCATCTCGTGTCGTTTTTCGTTTGGTTGCTCTCTTTTCCAAAGGGTTCGCAGTACAGCGAGCACGTTTACGCGCGAGTGCGCATGCGCGTGCGCACATGCGCGCGAAGAAAGCGCGGTGGCACTCGTGGCAAGTCGCCCGGATAATTTGAAAGCGATCCGATCTTCCCGGGCAGCTGCCTGCCTTACGCGTAAAATATTAAGGAACTGGATTCCCTACTCCATTACATTAGTCGGTTTATTAAGCAAGATGTTGATGAACGTCTACGATACTTTCTTTAATCGCAGTGCTGTCATATCTGATTATATTCCTTCTTTGAAATTTTGACTGCTTATGTATGCGAGATGCTTAAATTTTCATACGAATGAGTTCATATTATTAATATTAATCTTATCGATGTGCATGTTTACTTTGAAACTAAAAATAGTATAAATACTTATTTCATATTAACAATATATGCAATGATAATATGTACATAAAATACACAAATACATATATAAAATATATAAAATTATTGTACTAGATGTAATTGTTTTAAAAAATGATTTGAACAAGTTATGCAGCATTCAAAGATAAATCAGATATGAATTAAACTGAAGACAAAAATTATGTCTAGACAGAACAACCATTAATTTACCTATTTATGAGATCTCATTTTCTCGAGCAGTTCCATAAAAATTTTTTTTCCTCGGATATCCTGTTTTCTTGCGTTTAAGTAGCAATAAAGTTCACCGCATATCCTTTTGTACGCTCTGCTTTCACTGAATCTACGGTTTGTCGAAACACTGCCAAAAAAGTTCGCTGTCTTTTTTCTTTGTTTGGCAGAGCATCGAATTACATACTTACAAGTTGCAGATGGCGAGGTATCAAGGATACTTTTGGCCTTGGGTTCATGAAGACCGTCATAACAAAATGCACGGTAATAAACTTCATTAATAATACTACATACCCAAAACGAATATAGACAATGACTCTCCTGTACTGTAGAAAATTAGCAACTAGAAAAGTAATGAAAGTAGTAAAGTATAAGAATCTTTAATAATAATATGAAATAGTTCATTTTAGTACTTAAACATTATGACGATATTGGCACAGTTATTCCTCCATTTGTAATTATCTAGAAATATGATTTAATATACAAGAAAATGAATGAATGTCTTTGAGGTTAGGTTAAAATTAGGTTAGAAAGATACACAATTCCTTGATTTGTTATTGTGTAAAGATATGATTTAATATCTAAGTAAATGAATGATTATCTTTTGATGTTAGGTTAAAATTAGTTTAGGAAGATACACAAAAATTCCTCGATTTGTTATTATGTAAAAATATAATTTAATGCATAAGTAAACGAATGAATGTCTCTTGTTATGTTAGGTTAGGTTAAAATTAGATTAATAGGTATCACAATACTTTATAATGAACACACAATGTATTGTATTGTATACCATATAATTGAGAACACATCTTAACGAAGGATTAACAGCTTAATTTCTTTCATAAATAAGTGTTTTCAAAACAATTTCATAGCTGGTGCACGAATACAAACAGGTATCGCGTTACTGAAACCGAAACTAGCCGCTGCTCAATCTATGCCGCATTCACGGATTAAGAAAATTCGTGAGACCAAGCGAAATATTTTCCGATCTGCGAACTTTGAAAGAGCAAACAAGCAACTTCTGTGGATGCAAAAAACAACTGAGCGTAAAACCACCAGGATAAATAACGCGCATCGGTGTAATACTCTAGTCCATTGTTGCTTTGGAAATCGATACCCGGAAAAGGTGCAATGTCGGTTTCTTTTGAAAATTAGAAACCTATTTTAGAGGTCGGGACACGTGCAAGTTTCTTACACGATTTAGATACGGAGGACCTTTTGAGATTCTTTGGTGCAAAGTGGGGACTGAGAGGGAAGCAAAAATGAGTCATTAAGTATGCGAATATATTTGTAAAAACTGTGTTATGTTAATAATTATTGATTATAATTATTAATAATAATTTAAGTTGTTGTTAAGCAATGCTAAGTTAGATAATCTGAAGTTATTGAAGAGTTAAGTAATATATTTATTATAACTGTTATATAGGTTGTTTCAGAAATTGATACACATGAAGTTGGTTGATATTTTTCTTATTAAAAAATAAATGGAAAATAGAGTACAATGTACTTTATT